TAAGGTAACAGTGAAGAACAAGTATCCTTTGCCTTGCATTGATGACTTATTTGATCAGCTTCAAAGAGCGAGGGTATTTTCTAAGATTGATCTCCGTTCGGGCTATCACCAGTTGAAAATCAGGGAGTCGGATATTCCTAAGACTGCCTTCAGGACTAGATATGGTCACTATGAATTTTTGGTTGAAGTATTATTCACCATTGCTTGGATAACCGTCGTGGATGGTGGAGCAAAGCACGGATTTTCTCTTACACCATACTTTGAGTGGAACAACTCACGTCGAGTGCTTGGAGTAGATCCAGTGATCAAGACATCATCATCACCTTGTGTGATGAGATTCTTAGATCTAGAAGGACTAATCAGAGCAAATGTCTTTTCAACAATTTCAGCAATGCTCACTCCTTCTTTCAATTCAGTTGGAAAGGATCGTTCCCCCTTTGAGTATTGAAAATCAAAGATAGGATCCGATGCAGACGGCATTTGAAATGTTTTTTGTCCTAGCAAGTTTTCTTTGTTCCTAGTGATAGGTCCTACACTTTTCATAGTAGCATCCAACAAGTTTTCCACATCAGATGAAAACTTGGAATCAGTAGCTTTCGCAGTAGTGAGTTTGAAGTTGATCTTCTTTGGATCCATTTATGTGTTCTTGAAATTTGATAATTTGAAGAGATGAGAGGTAGAGATTGTCCCACTAAGCGTGCCAGAAATTTGTAACAACAAATTTTTGCGTCAAGAAAAATAAATAATCAATACTGGAAAATTGCGTAACAAATATAGTATTTGATTTCAATAAATGAAAGTGTTACAATCTCTATGGTATTTCTTTGATTCTTTAAGAATGTAAAGTATCTTAATGAGCTTGACTTTGATTTGATTCAAGGGCTTGTAAAGCTTGATCTTGAATCTCCTCCTTGAACTTGAATTTGGGTTTGATCACGAACAAGTAATTTGATCTTGAACGCCTTGGTATTTGATTTGGCTTCGTTCTTGATCTTGAACTTGTAGCTTGAGTGCTTGAACTTGTAGCTTGTAGAGAAATCTGCGGTGTTTGATCCACGAGCTCTCTGCTTGCTTCTTGTTATTACTTCTGGTGTCTTCTAACTTTATGAAGACCTCTATTTATAGTTGTAGGGAGTGGTATGATTCTGCGATTTGATTGGTCCGTTTGAACTGACCAATACCATCCAAACACTTGGCATGATTTAATTGGCTCATTTATTTGACTTGGATTGTCACATTACTTGACACATGTCATGATTTCATTGGCTCATTTACCTGTCTTGGATTGCCACATCACTTGACACATGACATGATTTTATTGGCTCGTTCTTTTGACTTGGATTGTCACATCACTTGACACGTGGCACGACCCTGGGCTTTAAGACGGGCAAATAGCCATTTGAACCTCAGGCTACTGAAGTGGGCTTATCATTTAATTTATAGTCCAATTAAATGGACTAGCTCAACACATATATTGGCTTTTAATAATTAGCCCAATTTATTAGCCACAATATTTGTTTGGGCTAATATCTTGAATTCAATATTGTCCGAATTATTTTATAAATTTAAATCCAATAAAATTTAAATGCTTACAATTACAAATTAGAAGAACTTGAGAAACTTTAATTGAATCATGATACATATATAAAAAAGAAGAAGAAAAGACCGAATAATCATAATGATTTACACAATTCCAATATGACAAAGTTGTAAGCGGAAACTGACTCGTGTCAAGTAGAAGTGTATAAATAGCACGGGCTAGCCAGTCTTCGAGCTAGTAATTGAAAAATAGTCAGTGTTTGCAAAGTCATTAAAAAATAGTTACTATTTTACTGCAACACGGAAATTTCCAGCATAATATACTAGAGATTGGTGCACCTGTGTATGAACTTCCAGCATATTATGCTGGAACTCCAGCACATAGAAAGTTCCAGCATAATATAATGGAGATTGGAGCACCTGTGTATGAACTTCCAGCATATTATGCTGGAACTCCAGCACATAGAAAGTTCCAGCATAATATAATGGAGATTGGAGCACCTGTGTATGAACTTCCAGCATATTATGTTGGACTAGTATATTATGCTGTAACTCCAGTATATTATGCTAGAAGTTCACGTGTGAAAAATTCTAACTCCAGTATATTATGCTGGAATATTTTCCGGATTTTGAAAACATATATTTATCTTTACATGAAAAGTGGCTTAATTTCGATTACGTTTGACCATGTGACTATTTTTAAATTACCACTTGTAAATCTGACTATTTTTGAATTTCACCCTTTGTATACCCTGGCCCATAGCATTGAGTCTGCAACTGTTGAGGGGAGAAATTCAAAAATAGCCAGATTTACAAGTGGTCATTCAAAAATAACCACAATTTTAAAAGTCATCGAAATTTAGCCACTTTTCATGTAAAGATAAATCTGAACGAAAACACTATTCAAAATTCGGAAAATACTCCAACATAATATACTGGAATTCCAGTATACTTTGCTGGAACTCCAGTATATTATACTGGAGCCAGCAAAGTATATCGATCTAGCATAATATGCTGGAAGTTCATAAACAGGTGCACCGAACTCCAGTATATTATGCTGGATCGATCTCTGTTGCAGCAAAATAATGACTATTTTTTAATGACTTGACAAATATTAACTATTTTTAAATGACCAGTCCGAAACTAGCTAGCCCGTGCTATTTTCACATTGTTGAGTAATGGCAGCCAGGCTTTATGGGTAAAACGGGCCCAAAACGTTTTTATACAAAAACACAATGCTTAAGCCGTTGTTTCGGTCTTGCCAAGCATTATAGGCTGTTTTCTCGGAATGAAATCTGTTTCCATCCTAAGTTTGGTTTCCCTTAATTATTTGATTAAGTAATAAAAAAAAAAGTAAAGGGTACTAAGAGAAATGATTTGTTTAAGACAGTACATAAAAATGATTTAGACTAGTAAATTAACGTGTTTAACTTATATACACTTCCGTATAAAAATATTTACCCAAAAAATATTTATTAATAATTCTCCAACAAAAAAATTGGTTTTTGTAATCTTTGATAATAAGGCAAAATCATGGGCAAATCTACTTGCTCTCTCTCTATATATATAAAATGGCACCGTCTGTCACAAGATACTTGTTACAACTTACAATAAATAACAACGACCGGTTAAAACTTGTGTGTCTAAAGATAAATCTAAAATAACAACCTCGTCGCTTGAATAGGCCAACAAGACTACAAGAAAAAAACGGAAAAAAAAATTGTAAATCAAAACCATGAGGAATTATAGAGTTTTTATGAGTCATATAAAGACGAAAACATCTTCTGAAAAAGGTTGAAATTAAAAAGCCAGAAGGCTAGGGTGTGTGGTTCCAGACATCCGCGTTACAGTTTTGAGGTAAAGAACATTAATTAAATTCGGCTTCTTTGGTATTATAACCCTTTTTTATTTAATTATATTTACCATAGATAAAGAATTTTTTGTTACTTGAGAAGTAATCAAATGTAAGGTTTTTTTTTTAGGAAAATGGATGAAATTTTTAGCGTATATATGCATTGTTGAATGTCCTTAGCATAAGGAAAGATGATTTAAAAGTTACTCTTGTTCGTAGGTTCGATTTTGAATTCCCTTGTTAGAATTCCTGGTTACACCACTCAAAATCGGAGCTAAGTCGAGAAAAGAATGTTCAATTGAATCACCTTCGTTTGTTAAAAAATTATAATAGGATAAAACGAATTCTTTTATATAAATGTTGAATCCTTTTGATATACGAAAAAAAGTCTAATAATGTGGCAAAAAGTGCTCATAAATTGTTTTAATTCATGGGCTTAAATCCTAAACGTAACATTCTATCTTTTATTGGAATGTCCTTGTATAAATTCCTGACTCCGCTAATAATGGGTTCGATTTCATGCATATGTTTATTGTTGAACAGAGAACAAGCAATGGACATTAGTGAAAATAAAAGCTATTCACAACAAGAAGATGATTATTTGCCACCCATTGTGTCATCATATAACGATGAAACAATCCTGCCCCCGCTCTTTGATTGCGCGGATAAGCTGCGGCGAAGCTTAAACGTGATGCAACAATGTATCCAACCCCCTCCAGTTCCTACAATTGTTCTAGTTGGTGACAGATGTTCAGGTAAATCTAGCCTTATTGCATCCCTTATCGGAATAAAAATTACGTTAAAAGGACACTTCTGCACTCAACTTCCTGTCCTTATTAAGCTTCAAAATCATCATAGTCGTAAACTTGAAGTTTCCCTCGAGTTTGATGGGAAAACGAGGACACAGAAGTAGAACCGATGATGATGATGATGAGTGGCATGTAGCCTTAGAAATAAGTCGGGCGACAAACACAATTGCTGGCACAACAAATGGAATATCTAACAACCCTTTGACACTGCTCCTGAAAAAGAAAGGTTTTCCTAATCTTACAATTGTGGATTTGCCAGGGATTCCTACCTTAGACGAAGCTAATAAAGAGATATATGAGCGAATACACCAGATGATTTTGAATTATATAACCCCCGAGGACAGGATTATCTTGAATATATTATCAGCCAGTACTGATTCATTGCCTAAAAAATTTGAGTCAATGAATATATCTAAGAAAGTCGACAAGAAATGTGAAAGAACTCTAGTAGTTGTGACCAACGCTGATAATGCTCCTCATAAGTTCCTTAATGAGCTAGTACTTGATAAAGTTACTGCGATGGGACTTAATTATGTCTGTGTCAGGAATAACATTGACTTGGAGACTTTAAAAGAATCCGAGATTATAGAGGCTACGCTTTTTGAAACGAATGAATTTCTATCCAAGATTAACAAGTCTATGGTTAGTATTCCAGTTTTAGCTCGTAAATTGATGATAATTCAAGTAAAGATTACTTCAACAGATATCCAAAGGAAAATCAAGGATAGGCTTAATGCGAATGTCACAGAACTCAAAAAGTTACCAAGTCAGTGCTTCAGCACAGTCGCTGAAGCACTAAGAGTAGTCATGCAATTTGTGACTTCAGCTAAGAAGTTATTGCAGACAATTCTTCCAGGAGGGAATAAGTTCGATGACCACAACGAGGATTGTACTATGTATAAGAAGTCATTGCAGACAATGCTTGACCAGTATTCTGCTCAGTTACATTCAAAGAATCTTGAAAAGAAAGAAGACTTCTTGATGGAAGAGATCATGTATATAAAGGACAGAATGGTGAATGGACTTTCAATTGATTTCCTCAGTTTTCTGCACGAAAAGGTCGATGGGATTTCTAAAATGGCAGAAGAGTTTGTGGGCAAAATGTGGAACTGCATAGAAAGAGTTATCATCGATGTTTTGATGCATCATTTTGATAGTCACCCGCAACTTCAAGATTCCACTGGAAGAGCTGTGCAAAACCTTATTGCCCAAAAGAATGATGAATCGGCTAATTGGGTACGAGAAATCATTGGGATGGAAAAGTTGGCTATAGGTTACACTTGCATTAATCCATGTTATGTAGATAGTTGCAATAGACTCCTAGCTCAAGAAACAACATTTATGGATATTATGAACAAGAATCACTCGATAATAAACATCGAAGGAATTGGAGAAGTTGATGTTGAACATATGAGAAATCACTTAGATGTAGCGCGACTAGCTTTTGAATTGAAGATGAAGATGACTGCACACTGGAAGATATTTTGGACGAGGCAGGTGGATTTAATTTTATGGCGTTGCATATGATATCTGCTGTTGGAAAAATGGTTATTAACAATGAGATGGAAGAGTATATTGCTAATTACCTAACGACAAGTAATGAGATTGAAGAAGCACCCGAAACGGCAAAGGCTTGAAGAGAGTGTAAAATTGCTTGAGTCGTCGAAAGATGAGGTGGTCAAGATTGGAAGAAAGATTACTAGTGAAACTTTATATCTATTGGGTGCTACTATTAGAACGGGAGATTTTTCTTCACAGAAATCTCCATTTATATATTCTTTCGTCTCCTGGTGTATGTCTCTCTATTAACAATGTTCTAGTTAATTAATCCTGCAAACATATTTCCACACGACTGTGATAAATTTGAATTTCCTGAATATAAATTCCGAATAAGCCCAATTTCTGCAGGAAAGAAAAGTCCAAGTTGACTCCCAAGCCCATATATGAAATTCTCCGAAAATAACTTAGTATAAATGACGTTGTATATCTATTCTCAAAATAATAGCCGAAAACTATAATTATATATATACACAAAAAATAGACAAATTTTATACACTTTTCAGCTAACGGATATTAATATAAATAACATCACGCAGGCTAAAAGTGATCTTTTCCAATAATTTAAGGAAGAAATTTAGGGTTTGAATATAAATGGAGTGAACCTTTAAAAAATGATAAGCAGGACCAATTAACAGGTTGTTTATATGCCATAGTCAGGTGAAATAAGCCTATCCTATTTTTCCCCACGAACAAATTCAATTTATATGGTCCCTCAATTTATCTCATTTTGCACAATACGGCTTAGCTTAATTAGAATCCATCTCCGGATTGGGACTAATTTGTTCTACTTCTAGCATTTTTCTCCTTTGACTAGAGTTTGTCTATTTGAATTTATTGCCCGACTTAAAAATTTAAACTCTTAGATGACATGTCTCGTAGTAGTAATACTATTGACTACGTTTTGAGTTTGAATCCCATTGTCATCTATTAATAATATATTTTTACAGTGTTGTATTAGATACACCTTTTAAAGAAGAAGATGGTGTCATCTTTTCGCATACAAAAAGAAGTTCTTATATAAGTGTGTGTGAATACCTTTATTGTTGAAAAAGAATCTGTATATATAAAAGAAGTTGACACCACATTTAAAATAAATATTAATTTGACATTGAAAGTAAAACTTTAAAAGTAAGTATAGCCCTAACTCAGCAATGGCAGCCCAATTTAAGGACGGGCTTGATGCGTACCAAAACAAGAGTTTTTTACACGGATGATCTCTTTATGAAAACTATTCTCATAACTAGTAGTACTACTCATTTATTGCAAAGATGGCAAATTTTATTACAGATATAGCATTATCGGCAATTCCTTAAATGCCGCTACAGTGAGAATCCCATTTAAGACCAGCATTAAGAATACTATTTTCACTAAACAGTCTTGATGTAAATAACCAATAATTAAGGAAACCGTTATCATCTCCACCACTAGACAATCTTGGCGTACCGTTTCCATCTCTCTTTCCCTAAACCAAAAAATCTCAAAGAGTTTTTCCTCTATTTCGCTGATCTATGCCATCTTTTTCCAAAAGAAATAGTATTGTGATTTATACACTATTAAATACCATTATTATGTTGTGTATATTATCATATTAGAATTTTATTTTAATTTATACACTATTAAATTTCATCATTATATCGTATATATACACATGTATACATAATTATATATATATATATATATATTTATTATCCATTATTATTTATAGTAATACGCAATCAATATATACAATGGTTGAAAAATTCATGATAAACTACAATATAAATATATACGTGATTTTTACTTGGTATATTATCCAGTGTAATTTATACATGGTTTATATCATATATAAGTTATCTAGTGTAATTTATACATGGTTTATATCATATATAAGTTATCTATTGTAATTTATACATAGTTTATTATAATTTATACATGATATCTTATCACAATTATGAGATTATATTCCAGGCTTCTATATGTATATTGTTATACATTATATTCCAGATTTTTTAGTCTCATACTTTCGTTTTTTCTTTTTGGCTTTTTTTTTTTTTTTTTGTAAATGAGAACGAACAGATAATATAAATGTGAATAATAAATAAGTACAAGTCTTTTTATAGTGTAACTTAATTCCTTTTTAAAGAAAATTAATGCTTGAGGTACGTGATTATGGGTCCATGATTTAAGGGAATGTATTTATTGGCTGTTTTCTCAGAAGCAACAAGACAGTGAAACTCATAAAATAAAATATATTAAAACTAAGAGATTATCTAAACTCACAAAATATTTAAAAACCAAGTGATGATGACACACCTAAACATGAAAAGATTAACAACCAAGCTACTGCATTCCAACGGACTTTTTGCAGTAGCATAATTACATCAAAATCCGAAAATTAAAAAAAAAAAAAACTAACTAAGAACATAAACCACAAAATAAAAACAAATAAAAAAACAGACACCTTTCATGCATCAGTTAATGCTCGATCACGTTCAAAAACAAATTAAACTTCCATGATGGCCGCGAACTGCTTCTTAAGGGCTTCTAGACGCTCTTCAAGCATCACTCGTTTTGGAGATAGAACAGGCAGAATGAAATGCTTATCATACCCCATTAGACCACGACACATATGAATAAATACATCCCCTTCAATCTTATCAACCAACTTCTAGATAGTTGATGTCATATAGACCATCATAAAATCAGCCAATCTCAATGAAACAATATCCCAATAAATACCAGCTTTTATGTAAACTTGGAAGGCTTTCTGAATAATATCACTGTTATAATTTGATAAATGATCAATGTTGACCAACTCCAGGCTTATATTGTTAAGCATCATCGTGTGGGCACCTTTCGAGAGCTCCTCCATCAGCTGCTTCTCCAGGGTAGATGATTGACAAACCAATACCTCATATTTTGGATTGATGGTGTTGAAAATCAATCTTTCCATCTCCAAATATTTCTGTGGCCAATCAGCCAATGCATCCTTCTCTGATTCAACCAAATGTCTCACGGCTTCTTTAGGGCTCAGAATTTGAAGGCAAGTTGCACAGTGCCCCTCCAATACATTAAAAACCAGCTTTGAAATATAACTCCACAGTAGACCAGGTAACTCCCTTAGATGATCTTATATTTCCGTGAACTTTTTTGCAAGAAAAAGTTCAAGAAATCAATCTCATCCTAAGTCTGATTCAACCAAATGTCTCACGGCTTCTTTAGGGCTCAGAATTTGAGGGCAACTTGCACAGTACCTCTCCAATAAATTTTTTTTGGGGGGGAGGGGAGAGAGGTGATAGTGGTAATTTTGTATGGGGCGGGGTCACAATATCTGAGACAACTGTCTCATTTGCTCAGTGGTTCTTGGGTTGGACTAGAGCCGTAGTCTAGTTAATTCAAAAGGTACATAAAGAAGAGAAAAAAAAAAAAGATGCACATTTTTCATCAGATTTAAATCATTTAACTAAACTCATCTCTTATCAGATATAATATAATATTTTTTTTAAAATAAAAAATGAAACACTTATCTAGTTGTAAGAAAACATTCACATAAAACTACTATGACAAAACTATTAGATATTCTTTGATAAAATGATAAAAGAGAAAAAAGATTTACAACTAAATATAATGCTCATGCATGAACTTTCATCATAAATTAGACAATGAAACTCATAAGATATATTAAAACGAAGAGATCATCCAAACTCAAAAAATACATTAAAAATTAAGTAATGACACCTAAACATAAAAAAGACTAACAGTCAAGCTACTGCATCCCAATGAACTTCTTGCGGAAGTAGAATTACATCAAGCCCGAAAATAAAAAGAGCAAACTAAAAGAATATCAACCACAAAATACCAACAAAAAAATAGACACCTTTCATCACTTAATACCCAATACCGTTCTAAAATAAAGTTGCATATTATATTATTGTCAACTTCTCCTTAAGGGCCTGTAGATGCTCTTCAAATATCGTACGTTTTGAAGAAGGTACATACACTATGATATGCTGATTTTCCCTTATTAGACCCCTACAGATATCATATATTCTAGCCAATCAATGTCATCAACCAACTTGTAGATGGTTGATGTGATATCGACCATTATAAAATCAGCCAATCTTAATGAAACCACGTTCCAATAAATGTCAATATCCATGTAAACGTGGAAGGCCTTCTAATCAATGTCACTGTAAGGTATTAAATGATCAATGGTGACCTCATGAGCTATTCCTTTAAGCATTATCTTGTGGGTGCCTTTTGAGAGCTCCTCCATCAACAGCTTCTCCTTGGCAGATAATTGAGATACTATTTGCTCACATTTTGGATTAATGGTGTTAAAAGTCAATATTTCCATCTCCAAATTTTTTTGTGGCCAATTAGTCAATTCACCCTTCTTTGACAATCAATTCTCTTACGATTTCTTTAGGGTCACGCAGAGCTTGAGGGCAAGCTGCATAATGCCTACCCAATGCATTTAAACCCAGCATTGACATATATTTACACAGTAGATCGGGTAACTATTAGAATTTTTTCCTGAATTTATATTCTATTATGACTCTCTTTCTTGAAGGAAGGGAAAAATACTCCTAAAATGATTAAATCTCTTCCATATGCCTTTTCCTTTTCTTGGAAGAGAGGTTTTTACTTCTATAAATTGATATTTTCTTCTCACGACAAGAATACAACTTCCACAATATAAACACCAAAGAGTTTGTTTAGGGAGAGATTTTTCTTTTGATAGTTTTTTTCTTTTATATTAATTTTATAATATGTAGGTCAATTGACCAACCTTATTAAAGTTTTATGCTTTTTTAGTATCATCAAAATTCTCTTTGTTAGCTCCCGCATGCATCATATTATTTCGAGCCCAACAAGTGGTATCAGAGTCAATAGTTCAGAGTCAATGGTTGAAGCAAGGTTGAAGATAAATTCAAGGTGAGTTCAAATCAAGAAACAATCAATTTGACGATAATGAAGATTTATCCAAAAAAAAACTTTTTTGAATATGATGCAACATGTGGATATAAATTTACAATTATAAGTATTCAAAACCTCTGTTACTATATCTTTACAAAAATAAAAACTCCTTTTAACC